TATATATATATATATATATATATATATATATATATATATATATATATGTATATATATATATACAACTACTTGTACTACTATTCGTACTTCACAGTTTTTCACTTATCGCAGGGCTTCAGGGTACGGATCCCCTGCGTTAAATGAGGGACTTTTGTATACCAATGGTTTGAACAGGGCTAAGGTTAAAGTGGATTTTCATTAAACAACCCCAGTCTCAAAAATTTTATAGCAGGTTATGTGAATGCTATTTTACAAACCTTACCGTTATCGTTAATTTCACATTAAACCATTATTTACAAATAAGTTTATGGTTATTTTCAATGAAAGTAAGCTGTAGCACTTCTGGTGCAGCCTAAGATGCTTCTGTCAAGATTATTGTAAAACATCTAATGGAAGAAGAAGTGTGTAATGTGAAATCGAAGGCGGTGTAAAACTACGACTAAACTTCAAAAGATACGACCTATCACTTTAAGGTGAAAACTCTTACAATTCCTTCTTAATGGTGCCAGTGGCCTCGGGGTCCAGGACCTTGAAAGCGCTCACAATAACGTCCTCAGGATCAGCACCTAACAGAAAAAGAAAGATTGAGAAACAAATGTTAAACTATTAATTAACTATTAAAAATATAAAAACAACCGTTTTGGAAAATGAGAAAATACTTGTTGAAAACAGGCACAGAGAAAAAGAGGAACGAATAATAAAACGTGCCAACACACCCTTGAGCTTCTCGCCGAACATGGTGAGGAAGACGGTGAAGTTGATGGGACCGCTGGCTTCCTTCACCATGGCCTCCAGCTCCTCATTCTTCACATTCAGCTGACCCATGCTGGCCAGCACGTCCCTGAGGTCATCCTTGCTGATGATGCCATCTCTGTTCTGGTCGATGATTGTGAAAGCCTACACCCCCCAAATAAATAAATAACTAACGAGTCAAATAATAAACTACCATTGTAATAAATGGTTCGGTATTCAACATCCTTTCTGTTCAACTTGAACTCAAACTGAATTAGGTGAAACTCTAAAACGATCACGTTCCTCACAAGTCCTTGTAAAAAAGACTTGTTAATGAAGATTATAAAGGGGCAAGGTAAATGTGTAAATGTGGAGCTGTTATCTGCTCCTCTTGTCACATAGCTCCACGTTTCACTCGCTGAAACCAAAGATGGCATTGCAAACTTTTTGGGACTTGGCAGCTGGCCGGCCACTTGTCTCTCTAAGGTGTTAAAATGGTTTTGGAATGTGAGACAAGCCCCTTGCGACATTTAAGGCGAAGGTTTGATTACAGCTGTCGTCCTTTTTGCCTTGTGACTGAATCTTCTGACCATGTCACCAATGTCCTTTCACCTTTTGAGCCTTCCAAGGAGACGGATCAGCTACTGTTGGCTTCTCGCATTCACCTTTACCTGAATCCTAGAAATGTGCTTCCACTGGAAACTATTTGTGGTTAAAATTACAGCAACTTATTGGGGTTTTGTAAGGCGCACCTAAAATCCTTTAATATTCTCAAAAATCGACAGCGAGCCTTATGTATTAATGCTGGTTGTGCTTACTGACCTCGAACCGACTTCATGTGTTACATGGCGCTCAAAAATCTGTCAAAATGAACTTGTTTTGTTTAATGCACCCTATAATAGTCTTGTGTATGAAAACAGACAGTTCACTGATACTGCGCCTTATATTCTGAAAAATACAGTACTGTAAAACCAACCACACTAATAACAGTACTTTTTATGAATTAAAAAGCAATATGGTGCCTTTTATTTTTCACACTGGTAAATACATTTTTTAAACACACTGTATAATAAAAAATACAGTATATTATGGTAAAAAAAAAAAAAAGTACACACAGTGAGGGTCTCTATGGGGGGTTATGAGCTAATGCAGCATTGAAGTATCGCCTGTCACTGGAAACGCTCAGATTTACTGTCCTGTCACGCTGATGGGGACATTTTTCCACCCACTGATCAGCTCTATGATTCAGGAGTCCTCTCACATTACAGAGGAGGTCAGATTATACTTGGAGCCATCACTTTTCTACCTCTGGAAACTCCTGAAGAGTGTGTGTGATCATGAAGAGGAAGATGTTACCTCCTTGTACTCCTGGATCTGGCTCTGCTCGAACATGGAGAACACGTTGGAGGATCCACCTTCACCCTGCTGCTGCCTCCTCTTGGCCTTCTTGGGTGCCTATGAAATAATAATAATATTAATGAAAAGGAATATAAAACATAAACCACACAGATTCGGACTAACTTTACAGAAAAGGTTTCAAAAAGATTCTATGGATCAATTTTTTTTCTTTTTTTTGCCTACTGAATGATGCTTCAGGGGGAAAAAGCTTTCCTAATCTAGTAGGTTTTAATTCCATATTATCATGATTAATTTTTTTTTTGTGGGTCCAAATCCAGCATGTGGCGGCTCGAGTTTCCCTTCATGGGACCTTGAAAATCCACATGCTTCACGCTCATCTCATCAGGTTCTTAAGGGCGAGAAGATCCTGGTCTTCTGAGGAAAATGGCCACACTCACCATCTCTTAGGTTTGTGGGGTTGTTGGTGGTCAAGAAGAGAAGCCTACGCCAAGCCGATGTGACTGACATGTATGTATTGGCCCCTTGGGGTCTTATATATTAGCTCTAGCGGGGGCTAACTTTAGCCACACCATCAGGTTTGGCAGGAAAGCAGAGCCGAGGTAGAGTAAGAAAAACAGGGAGGAGTGTGAGGAGGTGTCCGAGCGGATCAGCTTACTGACGCTCTAAAATAGGCTGCGAAGTCTTGGAATGAGGTGAATTCAATGCCAACAGACAGGCTCAACTTTGGCGTCATCTGTGGACTAATAAGGCCAAACAGTTGCACAGGACACACTGGAGGACAACTAAATTTGACGCCTTTTGTTTGTCTTTGCTGTGGCTATCATTCAGTGTGGACAAAGAAAGCCCACGTGTGTTGATACAAACCCTGAAGGACAGCCGAACTGCAGCCAACACGAGCTCTGCTCTCTATTCATTCATGCTCCCGAGCTGCTCAATGGCCAGCATCTGGTTGGTGTTAACATATCCCGGAGTCGTCAGCTCGATAAATGATGGGTCTGCTGTGACGTTGCTGCCCACATCAGTGGATGTTATTAGGTGTATAAACAGCAGTGAAACCTGAAAGCAGTTGGCTGATCCGGTTGGTCTGGCTCCAACGATGATGCTTGTCAACTAGGCCTCGACTGACGGTGCAACCATGACAAACGTTGTGATTAGGAGCTGCTTCGTAAATGAAAATTCTGTGCTGGGCTATCAAAAAGTAACTATAAATGGGACAAATAAACAGACTCTTAATGAACAGAGCAGAATGATTCTGTTTGCTTTGTGGCACTTCTGTTTATTTTTTGTAATGAGAAACTAAATATACGCTTCAATGCTGTGCAAAGATCTTACGTGGCCCTTCTTTTTCATATACAGTTCATATCTCTTCCAATCAGTTAGACCTTCTTGTCACGTTTTAAAGTGGATTTGATTTTCTGAAGATCAAAAAAACTTCGGCTACTTTCCCCACTGATTTTTGGTCGAGTTCTTGACTGGTTTCATTAGATCAGCTTCTAAATCCAAGAGAAGAACCAGTTTTGTCTACGCATAACTTGACCAAAAATAAATAAATTAAATTAAAAAAAAAATAATAAAAGCAATCTGCTCCTCAGATAAATAATGTTAATTTATTATTTTTACACATGAATGTTTCTGTTGACTTATTTTATATACAAATATTTCTGTTCAGTGCCCTGAGATGACTTCTGTTGTGACTTGGCATCATATAAATAAACTGAATTGAATTTTTGAATGAATGCATATCGCCCGCTGCATTTTATGCCAAATCTTTAAACTAAGATCATCTTATGATGAAAAGGGACAGAGTTACAGCTGTTTAGCTGTTATAGTCAAAGCTTAAAGCTCATGCAAGATTCAGTACAATACATTAAAATCTTCCCTAATGCTCCAAACACATCGTCAGCAGCGGGAGATAATTAGATCTTGAGGCATTTTGCTGCCATGCAGTCAGTCACAAAAAGAGCACTTTGTTCCCATTTCTTTATGAATCTGTAAAATAAAAACATATAAAAACTGTTTTAATGTAGAAGGTGCTTCATGAAGAGCTATTAGCTGAACTTACATGATGAGCTGAAAGATAAATTATCTCTCAGGTCTTAAATTAAGATTTTACTGGATTATTTTTCCTGTTTCGCAGTCACCTGCAGATTATTTGGTTTTAGGTATATCACAATTTTTAAAAGAAACTAGGGTTAGTTTAAAACTTTTGCCCAGCACCTTTCTGGTCATGGAAGCACTAGACGTTCCCAGCTATAGAAAAGAAGGACAGTGACCCCCACTCTCACCTAACACCATAAATGAGCCCCATATAGGCTGCCATCAATCAGGACACTATAGAGCTGAGGCGTGTATTGGGGGTCTGCATGAGCCAATACAGCGTCTTTCCTTTCCTGTAGGGCGAGTATTCCCCCCCCCCCCCCCCCCACAAAAAATGGCCTAAAATGTGAGAGCATCAGTTTAAAAAAAAAAAAGTTTTTTCCTGATTTCATGTTTTATTCTGCTGATTGAAAGTGTAACAAAAATAAGAAGTGCAGAAGGAGAAAGACCTAGCAAACACCATAAAAACAGGACAGCTGTACTGACTGAAATAGCTTTGCCCCCCCACCAACAATTCTCTTTCTCAGCCATTTTCATCCTCGCCTAACAGACTTTGCCCCCAAACGATCTTTTTCTGTTTTTATATTTGCTTTCTGCAATTTTTCTGCTTATTCAGCCATTCATATATCAAAATGTTTCTAAAGCTCTTGAAAATATTCTCTTTAAATTCTGCTTTTATCTTCTTATGCTATCTTTAGCTACATTTGGTTGATATTTTGCTACTTTTAGCTTTTAGTGAGGCTTTTGCGCTTTGTTTTTAGCTAGCCTTTTAGGACTTAAGCTTCCAGCAAACATTTAGTTACATTTAGCGAGTTTTTTGTTACCTTTAGTTAACATTTTGCTACGTTTAACTACTGCTCTACCTCTTTTAGCTTTAATAACTCAGTTTCAGCTGCTTCGGCAGCCATTTAGCACTCATTTCTTTGCTAGTTGGATTTTTAAATTAGGCAACTTTAAGATTTTTGTGCCTAAACTGGATGAATGCATTAGTTTGAGGCAAAGTTTTAAAGCAAACCTAACGAAATGCTATTTGAAGTATTCGTTCGCCTCACTTTGAAGAGCTCAGTTTGTTTATTGATCCATGTATGAGCATAAAAAGTAAAAACATATGAAATATGTTTAAAAAAAAAAACACTCTTTACAGTTTTTAGCATTTGAGCAATGCAATATTCATTCACATTCTGATATAAAACCAGTATTTTTTTTACAATTTTCATCCAAAATCTATCAAGTTTTCTTCCTGAACTAATCCGCCGCCGTGTCTTTTCTTTGACCAATCAGCAATCAGTTCCTTTACTTCCTTTCCAAAGTCTTCGTGCAGTTTACTGAAGTTGTCCTCGGAGCCGAAACTGGGACCGGCCCACTCCAACATGGGCAGAGCAGGAGCGCCAACAGGAACCATGTTTGCGCTTCTTTTGGGCCACAGTTTGGGGGATTTCTTATTAGCTGGTCTGTTTGGAGCTTGAAGCTCTTGGTTGGAGCTCAGAGGGACTCCGGCTCCTAAAACCTGAGCTGGATATGAAGCAGGCATGCTCAGAGAGCTCATCTCCACTGCAGGGTGGAAGTTTGGCATTATGAAGGGTTTGCCTGGTTTATTGGAAAATTCACTCAATGCATCTGGAAAAAAACAAACAAACAAGACAAATATTAGGAACAGCAGAAATGTGATAAGACTTCCAGATTACAGCAGCAGAGCAATGGCTGATCAAACCAGATCTGAACCAAACGAAAGCCTTGAAAATGTCTTGTACTTGTTGAAAAGGCAGCCATTATTACCGTTTTGATGCCAATTAAAAAGATACCTTTCACGAAACCTAAAGTGAATTTATGGGATTAATTCAACGGCATGATCTCTCCAAAACTGTGCGAAGTTAAACGGCTACAAGCTCCTAAAAATAAATGTAATAGATGTATTACTGTACAATGTATAGCCGATGTATTATTAATAAATTAACCTACAAAAAAACACAATTTTTACACAATAAAAAAAGAAAGCTCTTGTAATTGAGTCTGTTTGTTAGCCCACCTGTGCCTGCTTATTATTGCTCTGCTGAACTCACCTGAGCTCTGTTTATTTAGGCTCCCTCCAGCCACAAACACCTGGACAGATAATGGACAGCAGTTCTGTGTGCAGATGTTCAGCATTACTTTGTTGACAACTTCTGAGCTTGTGGTTATGACCTTGCTTCTGCCCTCTGGATTTGGTTGTTCTGCCTCGCCCCTGTTGAACTCTACACTTATCCCTGCTTTCTGGACACAGACACGGATCTTGACCTTTGCCCTCAGCCCTGATCACCTCACTACCTGCCTCTGTGTTTCTGACCCTCACCTGCCTTCTTACCACGCCTTCGCCCGTCAGTCAGGATTCGCTACTGGGCGAGTTATACAGAAAAACCATCCTGAAAATTTCCTGTGAGGATTCTAAGATCCATGTGTTCAGAAGCCGAGCAGCAGATTCATCTAAGATGTTAGTGACACGGTCCAGAACCGCAGGCCTGGCTGGGTGACGGTACACAGGAAGCATAATGCTAAAACTAAACCCCAACCAATGACCTGTTCAAGGTTCAAATCGATATTCTGTGCTTAGTGAGACACCCGAGGAACAGACTATCGTTACTGGCAGCTCCGTAGTCCGAAGCCTGGCACTTGTGACTCAGACCACAGTCAAATTTATTCCAGAGACCAGAGCGGGCGACGCTGAATCCTACCTGAAACTAGGACTGGGCGATATGGACCAAAATTAATATCGCAATATTTTTAAGGATAAATCGTGATATACAATATATATCTTGAAATTTTTTTCTTTCCATAATGTAATAACAAAAACATATTTCTAAGTCAAATCTTTGTCCCAGTTGTCACACAGGCACATTTATTAACAAACAGCTGTAACTGTACAAAATAAATGTCTAAAAATAAACTATTTACATATAGTGAATAATAATACTCCCCAGCTGTGCTGCCTGCATGACGTTAGTAAGTGTCTGTGAAGCGGCACGTGAGGGCTGTGTTTGTATTCAGTGAGGGAGAAGGGAGGGGCCGTACGCAGTTGGTGCAGATGGAAGAAAAAGAACTGCATGAATTTTCAAGTCTAATAATAATCATTGGTTGCGATAGAGCCATTTTAACCCTCGTAAACTGAAAAACTTGCGATACATCGAGTATATTGGATACATCGCCCAGACCTACCTGAAACTACTGGCTAAAGCTAAGGCTAAATACAGTAAAATGGTTATTCATGTCGGAGGTAATAACACTTAATTACGCAAATTAGAGGTCACTAAATTTATGTTGCTTTGGTGTGTAACTTTGCAAAAACTATGTCGGCCTCCATAGTTTTCTCAGATAAATAATGTTATTAACTTACGTTTTATGTATTTGAATGTTTCTGTTCATTGCTCTGAGATGACTTCTGTTGTGACCTGGCGCTATAGAAATAAACTGAATTAATTTAATAGACACTCTGTTAGTTGATTTAACTCAGCAGTCACTAACTTATTCTCCTCCGTTTGTTACCCCTAAACGTTTGTGTGACCAAACTAAACTAAACTTTGAAGTGGTAGTAGCTGAGACTCATCCCAAAACATACTACTAGCATGGCGTCTCACAACGATGCATCAAATGCACATAACATTATTTTTAAGGACTTAAATAGCAGCAAGTGTCATAATATGATCTTTATTTACAGTATACAGCAGTCCCTCACTTATCATGGGGGTTACGTTCCAGACACTCTTGTGAGAAGTAAGAACGCTATACTTATTAT